GAGCAGCAGCCGAATCACACACTGCTCGAGAGATGACCACGTCCTGTCAGTCCACTTGCAGGGAGCACTGCACAAATCTCTACTGTGAAAAAAAAAAAGGCTTATCACAGCTAAATAATGCAGTGAGGTCAGTGAGGAAGAGCTTAAAAATCCAACCCTCCATCCGACTCACTCCTCCTGAGAAGCATCCCTCTCTGAATCGCCTTCAGGAGCAGGCAGCACAGACAACCTTCATTTCAGATTATAACTTTCCTCCACAGCTCAGTTGTCGTCCACACATCAGCTGGTAATTCCAGGTTGGATTGCTTCTGCTTAAACCTGGTGAGCAGACAGCTGGGAGCTGTCACAACAGAGAATGTTCCCATCAGGTCACTGACCAGGAGTTCAGTTCTAGGCTCACATCTGAGCTACTGCAGTGGACACTGGGTCATGAGCTGGCTTTCTTGGCTCACAGAGGGAGCCGTTCCCAAAGGGAATCATTCCCATGGGAAACTCAGATGCCTTCATCATTCTTTAGCCAGGCAGGAGCAATGACTCTGCAGCAATGACCCAGCAATCCCTGATTATGGCCATGAGACCCTGTGAGCAACAAGAGAGTGGTTTCAGAGCAAGGCATTGGTGGATGAGTGTATATGATCTACACAGTGCATGAGTGCACTTGGGATACCAGGATTTGTCTAGCAAGCCTAGAAACTTCAGCTGACCCCTTTGCACTGGGGTGGTAGTGAGTTGCAGCTTCCACCAAGGCTTTCCTCCCCAGCCAGGCAGCTCCACTGCAGCAGATTTACCGCCAGCAAAATCCATCCTGCTTTCCCAGCCCAGCCCTGGCAGTGAGCAGCGCCATCTCGTTTTGCAAGCACACGTGTTTCTCCAGGAAGAAGTGTCCAATGTCAGCTCTGCCTCCATGAACCCCCAGGGAACTTGGGCATCTTGGATGTGGGATGGTGATGGAGCAGATAGAACCAGGTTTTGAGTGTCCCAATTCCTGTCCTTCCCTGCCTCTTTGTTGTCTGTTTATCCTTTATGGCCCCATGCTGCTTTCTCACACCCATCCGAGCTCCCCAGCAATCACAAGGGGGGGAACACTGTGATCAGCACTGCTGCCAGCAAAAAGACAAGAGGAAGAAAATCTTATAGCATCACCATTTCCCACTTATTAGCAAAGCTTCAGAAACGAGGCTTGGCCTCAAATGCCTTTCTTTCCAACTTAACTTTCCGAGCAGGTGGATTAAGCACCAGCAGTGTATGCATGCATGCCTGCCTCCAGACTTGTCGCTAATTAAGCCACTGGATTCTCCTCTCCTAAAACCTCTGGTTCCTTCCAAAACCCTTCAGTCTGAGAACAAAGCCCCGAAGCTCAGAACAGCAGAGCCAGTGCTCAGCACAAAGCATCACGCTTTGCACCTTAAGGATGAGCGAGGCAAAAAAAGAAAACAAGATGACTTCGCTTTTGACAAATTGGTTCCAGCCTCGCTAGGTAAGTGGATTTGCATCCCCTGCTGTCTCCAGGGTGTTTTATCTCTGTTTTGCAAAAGCTACCGGGAGAACCGTAGTGTTCATACGAGCAGGTAGAAAACTGAGCAGGTTCCCTGGCCTCAATCCCAGCCTGGGCGCACAGTCTTAGCCTGTGTTCTGCTGCCTCCCAGTGCCTGCGAGAGAGAGCAGCAGAGAGCTCGAGGAGTCGCACTGAAGTTGTTTCATTTTATTATATTATATTTTATTTTATTTTACTTTATTTTATTTTATTTTTCATTTCAGTTCCAATTTCTTCTCACTGCATTCCTGCTCGTGTATGGAGGGGGGGGGGGGGGAGGATCAGGAGATCCTGTGTGAGCATGAGGAACATAGCCAGGACATGATAGTCCTAGAACAGAGCCTGCACTGAGCTTCTCTCTACTCAGTTCAGCTATCAACTACCAGAGCACAGAGCTGCTCCCTCCAACCCCAGCATCTGCAAACCAGTCTCAGCAAGAAGCTTCAAGGCAAGGGGAGAAAAACGATGCTGTGACTTGAGAGCATATGGGCTGGATGCAGAGCAGTGGTGCAGGACACACTGGGGGAGCCTTGGCTTGCAATCCAGCACAGTTTGGCCATGCTGCCAAGATGTCTCAAGCTCCAGAGGTTTCTGTTCTGTGAGCTGGGAGTTTCTCATGTGTATTAAACATGTGAAAGTAGAAAGTGTTACCTTGGGAGGAGTCCCACATTTGGGAAGGATGCTCCAGTTCCAGGCTATGCCTGAGGCAGATGCCCAACCTTCTTCAACTCACACGTGCCTCATGTTGCACCTAAGTTCAAATCACACCTGAGACAGCAAAAACCAACATGAGGCAGAGCCACTGCAACCCCTGCCCTCAGAACCATGCTCTCCAGGCTAAGGTTGCCATCCAAAAGGCAAATACAGATAGTTTGGAGCTCATTGCACCAGATCTGCACCCTCAGTGCTCAGCCAAAGCATGCAGAAGGAGGCAGCACCTCCTGGAAGGCCTCTGTTGTGCTTTGCATACCAATGAGCACTAATGTATTTCAGAGCTGAACTTTCCACACAATTGCTTTTTAGTGTTTCCCTAAAAGAGCCCAGGAAATGAGGGAATTTCTAAATTCATGTCTTTTCTTGCATAATGAAAGAGTAAACCTTGATGGCTGTACCTCATGCTGTACCAACCGGTGCTTTACCTTTTAATGGTCTTTATTTCAGGCCTTATCGTTCTGATATGAACAAGACTTACTCCACCAAAGGGAATTCAATGTGCTTCTGTGCTCTGCTAATCTCATAGCTTATATAGGAATGGAAAGAAAAGACTCTTAAGAGCTCATTTTCTGTTACCGTTTAACAACCTTGAAAGTGGTTCTGTAGTAGTAAAAATTAGTATTTCTAGCTAGAAAAAGGAGCTAGAAATCACTCAAGGGAAAGACCTGCAGCTTTGGGGATGGGGAATCACCCCTCCTATTAGACTGATCAGTTGGTTTAAGCTAATTGTTAAAGACACAGAAGTGCAAATTCATGCTGGTGTTCACCAAGAATGCAAAGAAAAGCTGCTGCCTTACTGGTGTGGGTCAGGAGAGAGCAGCAGCCACAGAGCAGCAGCCATCAGGTCTCCCCGTAGTGGCTGATGGATACAAGTGAATGATGCTACATTCACAGCTTGGCAAACGTCGGCAGAAATCATTCATTCTCATTCTGATTCTCATTTATTGGCAGACAACCCAGAGGTACCCATTCCTACCCCAGGAGGTGCCTCAGGCCAGGCTGGATGGGCTCTGGGCAGCCTGGCCAGGTGGGAACAACCAGCCCAGGACAGGGGTTGGGTCTGGATGTCCTCTGATGTCCCTTCCAACCCAACCACTGCTGGATTCTGGGGTGCACCTTCTCACAGAGGCAGCACGTGTGAGGACAGAGCCGATCTTTTTCTCTGATTCTTTTTCTTGATCTTCCCTCCCTCCTCAAAGTTTTGGGATGCAATTGGGTCACATTTGTAAGCTGGCATACGGCAGAAGTTGAGTTCCTCTGTTTAAAACAAAAAACATGCATTTCCATCACCTCAGGAGCTGCTCCTTTTTGGCACGAGGACCCTCTGATCTGCCCGCCTCCTTTTATCAGCATCTTCAAAGAAAAAGGGAGTTATAATTGCTTTCTCCCTTCACCTTAGAAAGAAAAAAAAAAAAATAAAGGGTAAAGCTGCTATTCTTCTCCCCTGGCATCTGGAGAAGAAAGATGCTTTGAGCAACTGCTTGTTTACAGAACAGAAATAACACCTCCCAGCCCTCAAAGGGCAGAGCAGTTGAGAATAAGGCTCCTTCTGCCCTCCCGCACCGTCAGCGTTTGCTTTTTACCACCTACTGTCTGCACAACCCACTGTGCTGCCCTCTTCCCTCATTACAAAGGCACACGCAGGCTCTTCCACCTCTTTCCAGTGCTGCAGCACCTCAGATGTGCTGCTGACATGTCAACGCCTCGAGCCAGCATCCAAGCATGCTCTGAGGGGAACAGTCAAGTCAATGCAAAGAGGGGGATGTACCTTTGTAGCAGAGGAGTAACAAAAACGAACCTGCAGTTCTCCAAAATGAACCTGAAGTTCTCCTGCTTTTCTTACAGCTGCCTTCTTGACTGCCATCTCGGCACGGAGCCTGCGAAGGAATAGGGAGACATCAGCACAAGGGTGCAAGCCTGGCTTCTTCCAGCTTTGTGATTTTTGTGAGATCCTTTGGCTCCTGATGGTCCAAAAGGGATTCCCACTGAGTCATGCCATTCCAAAGCACCACTCTCTCCCAAAGCTAACTCACTGATACCTGAGCCTGCAGAGAGTGGGAATGCTGACCTTCCTGTCACACTCAGTCATCAACAAAAAGCCTGATGAGGTTGTTTTCGGAGCCTCTATCAAAGGTGGCTGAAATAAAAACCCGCATTTTCTTTTGTTATTTTGTATTTTACACATCCACAAACTCTTAGCTGACAGGTAGGACGAGCTCACGGACGTGGTTCAATTCACAGAGCAGGCTAAAACTGAGCAGCTATCTGCAGAACCCCCATTTCTCTGCCAAGCAGCTGGAAATGGACCGACAGGACTTTGCTACATCAGACTTCAAATAATTCAGTATTTCAGAACGCAGGGGTGGTAGGAAAAGCCTCTGTGATGTGGTTCTCTGCAAAGAAAGAGCAAGATTGTTAATGGCAGATGATATCACAGCCTGCTGCTTGAAAAAGCGAGCTCCTGTATGTGTTTTTTATACAGTTCAACTCATGAATCTCCAGTGTGTGGATAACTGCATCTAACAGCTACCCAAACCAACACAAAAGCTGCTTTTTGCTCAGAGACTGCACACGATGCAGCAGGCCTTGTGAGAGCATTCAAAACCACCCATTTCTGTTTGTGAAAGAGAAAGACTGCACTGAGCTTAGACATTTTGGGTATGTCCACACTCCTGCATCCCAAACTGAAAGAGCCCGTCTACCTTGCTTCCAGCATGGCCAGCTACTTCAGAGCTATACAAGAAGGCAGCCATTACAAAACCAAACAAAAGCCATTTATTAGATATGTACATTTATACATACACATGCAAAATGATTTTATACACATTTACACAGGTTCAATTATTAATAGAGTGCAAAAACGTCTAAAAAGGTACCAGCCCACCTTCTATAAACTTCACAGGTATTTAGGAGAAAAAAAAGAACAGAAAATGGGGTTCATAAAGTGACCACGCTCTGCAAACCCTTAAGTTAATGAAGTTTCCTCTGTGCCAACTTCCTCACGCTGTGCTGCTGGGCGAGGAGAAGAACCTCCCAGGGACTCACAAACTGAATTAAGGAGATACAAGTCAACCTGCGTTCAACAGCTTGAACAGAAAGGGATGGATCCCTGTTTGGGGATTTAACACAGCCGTAATCCCACGCTATGAGTCAGATTTCATGTACTCAAACTGCAAGTCATTCTTTTTTATTAAATCTTAAAGCACTGAAATCAATGTAAGCTATGCTATTCCTCCTGCTGTTTGGCTGGAGGAAAAGGTTTAACTGTGTCAATGCCATACGGATAGAGAAGCCGTTCTAAATAACAACACAAAACAAAAATTGGGTCAAATGTTTGCTCTTGTACCCAAATCAAAACCCACACCTGCAAAGTGCACAGATACGGTGCTCATGTGAATGCACACAGATTCTTTAATAAGGAAAAATTAAAAGGTTGTGAAGAGATTAAGCCTCACAGCAAATCAAAGCTTTGTCTGTTCAGAAAAAACCCAGTCACATCCTCTATCCATTCCCTAAAGCATTTCCACGAAGGCAGAATTGCACCAACTGATTTTATTTGACAAAGCATTCTCAGGAAGAAAAGAAAACACGAAGGGGAAGGCTGAATTTAATCTCTATCAACTCTAATTAGGTTAATTACAAGAGCTGTCTTAACACCTTGTTCTACCTTCCTCACCGAAGTGAGCTATTGCTCACATCACCTGGCACAGGAATGCATTTGTTTTATGATAAAGCAAACAGATGCTCAGGAGCCATCAGGAATATTACAGTTTCTTCCCATCAGCTAAATAGGGGGATGTGGAACACAAAGAAGATAATGGTTCCCTGGCCCCGTGCCCTGGCTGTGATCTGCATGCCTTATGTGATAGAAAACCAGCTTTACTGAAGCCCTAAGGAGAACCAGTGCAGTTCTTTTGGATTCTCAAGCCTGACTGGAGGTGAAATAAAGGAGGAATGGGGAGTTTGAGGATGGCAGATGGCCCTTTCACCAAGTTTTTGTAGTAGGAAATGCTTTATTCTTTCCCCACGGTTAGCCAGTAGGCTGATGGCCAGTCCATGCCCTAGGCAACCAAAAACATGTCAGATCCACTATCTTCCTTAGACTCACAGCACAGCTGGGGTTAGAAGCAACTTTAAAGGCCATCCAGATCCAATGCCATCCCATGGGTGCAGCTGCCCCCATCAGACTGGGTTAGCAAAGCATTCATTCCTAGGGAGAGATTTTTTTTTTACATGTCTTTAAGCTTTCTGGGGACAATGTGGAGAGAGGGAGGTCAGGAGTTGGGCTGGTTGGGTTTTTTGTTGGTTTGCTTTATAATTACTTGAGTTAGTTGTAATCCAGCTGCATTTCTTAGTTCCCTGCAGCCTCCAATCACACTGAAAGAGCACCTCACCAACCTCACCAAGTAAAACTGGGACTGACCATGGAAACCTAAAGCTTGGCAGCTCTAAAACCTGCATGTTTGTGGGGACCCCCAGGTGCCAAAAGGGCAGTGGCTCAATGCTGGCTTCATCTTCCATTCAGCTCCAGTTTTCTGCCAGAGCATACAACAGAAAACCAATGTTAACCCACCCCTTACAGCACATGGCCTTAGCAGTGCTCCTAACTGGCTGGCTGAAATCTTCCTCCATCATTTCTACTATATGCTTCCAAGCACTTTAAAGCACTCGCTATTTATTGTGACAGTAATTGGTTAGCATGGAATGGAAGAGAAATGCTTCTGTGCTACCATGCTGTCTCAGAAACCATTCAGGTTATAATGGGCTGCAGGTTGAAGTCTGAAGCATCAAAGAAGTGCTTCCAAGGTGCTACACAATTCTGGTCTAGCAATCCACTGACACCAGCAATGTTGGCATGATGAGATTCCAGGGAAATTCACAGATGTGCAAGAAACTTATTCTTTCATGTGTTCCTGCAAACTCAGGAAGACATCTCTGCATGGTGTTAATCTCCCTGCAACCACCAGAGGTAGAGACTGTGAGAGGAAAAAAAGGTATCTTTGGTGGAAATGGAAATGGGGTCACCAGGAAATAGGCTTGTAAGGAAAAACAACAATAATACAAAAGAAAAGCTATGCCCATAGTTGGACAATAACACGCTTACAGTTCCCTGTATCTTTCCAGTTCGAGTCTTCAATCCTTCAGGGACAGCAGCATCAAAATGCTATGCTTTGTTCATGTATGTTATGCTTTGTTATGTTCATTTATGTGCCAAACTGCATCACATTCTGTGATCCTGATCACATACAGGAACACCCAGTGCAGCAGAGGTGAAGAAACTCAGCTCCTAAGTAGTAGAGCTAAGTAGTATCCAAACTTCCACGCTCATAAATCCATCTTAGTGTAAGAACTCAACACCAAAAACTAAAGGTGTTTCAGATTAAAAAAAGAGAACCTGCTCTTGCTCTCCATTACTGGAGATGGCTTTCAATTCAACAGCTGTACTTTGCTCTAAAGGTGAAGGTCTGTCATAAGGAGGCTTAGAAGGTTTGTTATCTGTACAGACCAAGCAAACATGGGATTGCCCTTACAGTGAGAGTGACCTGAACCAAGGAAATAAAGGCCACCTGAGCTGAAAGGTCACTTGTGTTCGCTTGGTTCACTTTATGCTGCCCTAAGCATATTTGGGATTCAACAATAAGTACACAGTTAATGACAGTGTGCTGCTCAGCCAGGAGATACTTATAGCCTCTAGAGTTTTTAAAGAAGCCAGCCTTGTCCTTTCCTTCAAAACCCAGGAAAAACATACCCTGAATCTCATCCTAACACCTTCTCCCATTGATAACTCACCTAACTATGGCAAACTACTCCTTTCCTTACATTTACCAAGAATCTTAATGCTTAATAAATTGTACAGACAAAAATATTACCCACCACTTTACCTTCACTTCACTGCAATGTTTTTAGTATTTTTAGAAGCATGGCAGGCCAAGACGTTGGGCTGCCAAACTGTCACAAAGCCAGCAAGACAGATGGCAAAATGCTGTCTGGATGGTGGTAGTCAAAGAGTAAGAGCCTGTTTATGGTAAGGAGAACCTCGACCTGTTGATGACACCTGACAAAATCTATCATGCACCATTAGCACACATTATGTGGAACACAGCTGAATTCTTCACTGTGTGAATGAACTACAGTAGTATCCTGTCATAATTCCACGTTGCTTTGGAACATCCTCCTTGCAGTAACCATTGTCACAAGTATTTAAAAATACTTCAAACTATTTTTGGCCATTTTAATACCAAAAAAAAAATAATTTTAAAAAGAGCGTTGCGAACCCAAAGTCTTTTTCATACTCCACAGTCAGGTTGTTTCTCCATAAGTTGCCTTGTCAGTATCTGGTAGGAGGAAAGAGATGCCACTCCTATGTGAAAGGCTATTTGCCAGAGATTCCGTAATCCATACAAGTAAATATTGCATGAACAAACAGAGCAGAAGAGTACAAATGTCTTCACCTTCCTCATGGAGCTGTAGAACAGGTACAAATAACACTGCAACAGAAACACAGCAAGAGTGTTAGCATTCAAGGACGTACACAGAGACAAGAGCCATAGCTGGAGGCAACCCACTATTGCACTGATCACTAAGCAGCTCAGGGCCTCCTTTCAGCTCCCATGCTGGAAATTCCTCCCACAAGAGCAGGGCAGCAGCCCCAGCCCACAGCTCTGGCTGAGCCTGTCAGCACAATCCCTCCTACCTACCTCAACCTGGAACTAAAGGAGTCTGAAGTTAGAGCCAGCCTGCAAAACCCACCGAGGATTTTTGGAAGCCAAAGGCTTAGAAGCAGGAAATGAGCAAAACTTGATCTGTTGCTGCTGTGTTTGCTCTTGGGATAAGTGAAGGGCTTCATCCTCTAAGCTGACTTGGTAGCAAGCCCATCATTTCTGTCAACGTGCGGCTCAAAAAGTGTTCAGGGCTTTTTTTTTCCTTTTTTAATTCAAAAATCAGGTAGAACCCACTTGCTAATTATGGACAAAGAGCAACAAGCCTTACAGGAGAAAACTAAAAATCTCACCCACTGCTGGCAGACAAATTATTGACTTTAAACTCAGACAGCAACAGATCAGGCTTTCACACTTCTGGTCACAGCTTCCAACTGTGCCAATGACACAAGTAAAGATCATGAAGTAGAAAGCACTTCACATTGCAGCTCCATTTATGCACGAGTATTTTGTGAAGATGACCTCTGCAGACAGGGAGAGAGCGAACTTGTTTATTTTTAAGCTTCTTTAGCTTCAGATTTAACAGGAGAAATGGAGGACAGAGCCTCCCTTTGTAAAGACTGATCTGCATCTACTTTTAGATCCAGAATATTACCTCCATTTTGAAGCTCTGCCATAAACAGAGGTGTAAGAAGGCTGAAAGACACTCAACTGCCTACCTATTATGATCCAACAAATAGCAATTAAAAATAACTTTTAGTGTACATGACATTTTCAGTGTGCTTGGCCTTTCGAGGCAGTTAGGTTACAAAAGTCTTTCAGCCATGTCTGCCACTGTCAGAAAGGCATCATGAGATCCCTTTGGGAAACAAGCCACCTTTGGGTGTGCACTTGTCACACTCAGTTCAGTTACAGCACAGAAACACTGCAGAAGCTTGCAACTGCAATTTCCAAGGCTCATACATAAGGCACTCTTAATTGTAGCTGTGCCACTTCACCAGAATACCTTTGTGGAATCAACTAGATGAGATGCTAGAAACCAAGCTGTGCTTCTGCTTAGCTGGAAACCATTTTGCATTGTAAACTGTAGTATCAAAAATGAGAAAGCAGCTTGTTTAACATACCTGAAAAACACAGGCTAGAAAAGGTAGAAAAAATGCTACCACATTTCCAATTCCTTCATAGTCCTCCTGTTTGGATAAAGAAGCAACAAACAAGGAATTACATCAGCTACAGTTGTTAGCAAGCACTACTTCATATTTTAGAATATTATCCTTCATGAAGCAGCTCTCAGCCTAGTTTAACTTGATTGACTGTAGCAGTACCAAACAGCAACAAGATCAATAGGGTTGAACAAGGCACTAAAAGCTGAGGCTTATGTGGTAACACCTGCTAAGTTAAACTCTGCATCTCTACCTTCAGGACACTTCTTTTGGTCTTTTTTTAAAGCTGTTTGCAGTTTCACATTTGTGTAATAAAGATTGCAAAGAAGTATCTAGAACAAAACGAAGAAGGAAAACAATCATCACAAACCCAGTTCTGAAAGACTAAAATACTCCTCCAAATTTCAGTCTCAGCAGAAAGGAATAAAGCACAGCATGCTGGACAGACAACATACTTGAGTTCCAGCAGGAGAGGAGAAACAAAACACTTCCTATGGAGAGATGTATGTTTTGCTACAAAGCAGAACAGCCACCCTTAACCTGGTTACCCCAGTAACTCTCCTTCTTCATCTCATCGACAGCTTTCAAGTCAGTTTTACCTGAAAGGAATGCTCTGCTAGGTGAACTCCTCGGATGAGATTCAGAGCTGCACACATGATGTTCAGAACAAGTGACAGAATGCCCAGGGGGGTCACACGCTCCATTCTGTAGGCAGGGGCTAAAAAAATATATAAAAAAAGAACACATCAAAAGAGAATGAAAAGAGAGACAGTGAAAGTCAGCAGCACTGCTTTGAATCTGTTAACAGAAAGCAGCTCAAATGAGCTTTCATGGATGTTCAAAACCTTCCATGCTTGCTCCAGAGAAGACCAATAATGAATAGGAACAACTTCTCTGTTGCACTGCCCTGCTCAGTTCTTTGGACACCTAGAAATCAGTGTCAGCTCTGGAATTCTTCTAGAACGAATTGAGCAACAGAATTTGTTCCTGAGCCATTTGGCACTGATTTCTTTTATGCTACATAAAGGTATTTTTGAACTGTTTATTACAGCACATTAACATACTGACTGCTCTTCTCTGGTCAGTAGATAAGTTAGAGAGATTTCTGATGTCTATAATAGCAGGAGAGCATTTCATCCCCTCCCCAACCAGCATTCACATTCTTCTTCCCACTGACAGCACGATGCTTCAGTCCAGCATCCTGATGGATCCAGTTTCTCTATGGAATCATACAATGCCTTGTGTTGGAAGGGACCTCAAGGATCACGAAGCTCCAACCCCCCACCAATGCAGGGCCACCAACCTCCACATTTCATAGCAGCCCAGGCTGCCCAGGGCCCCATCCAACCTGGCCTCCAACACCTCCAGGGATGGACGGGGCATCACAGCCTCTCTGGGCAGCTGTTCCAGCACCTCACCGCTCTCACAGCACACAACTTCCCCTGACATCCAACCTAGATCTCCCCTCCCTCAACTTCAAACCATTTCCCCTTGTCCTGCTGTCATCTCCCCTTTCCAAGAGCTGACTCCCCTCCTGTCTGTAGGCTCCCTTTAGGTACTGCAGGCTGCAATGAGGTCACCCCACAGCCTTCTCTTCTCCAAGCTAAGCAAGCCCAGCTCCCTCAGCCTGTCTTCGTAGGGGAGATGCTCCAGAGCTCTGATCATCTTTGTGGCCTCCCCTGGACCCTCTCCAACAGCTCCCTGTCTTTCTTGCACTGGGGGCTCCAGACCTGGATGCAATATGGAATTTGGTGCCCTAATTGAGCACCTGCCTGAATGTCACATGCAACTGCTGAAGCCCAGGACTCAGATGCTCTGCTGCTACAACAGTTCCTGTGGCAGTTCTCCAGACAATACTGCCTCTGCTCCTGTCAGTGCCAGTCCACAGGGCAGGCTGACAGAACAAAGCCAAAAAGGGGTTAGGAACCAGACTGGATGCTGCAGATTTTGGCATCTGCTGCTTATTTTACACTGCATTGCATTTCCTTTCTTTCCCTCTCTCCCAACTGGCCTACATTCCAGAAGCAGCCATCTAGCTCTCTCTCCCTTCTCACCTCCTCCACTACTATTATGCTCTCTAACACCCATGCACCCAATACTGTTTATTCAGGGTGACCCAATTGCTTCATACCTAATTTAGGTCAAAGCAATTACTATTGATTTGCACTTAATAGTGGAACGTGGCACTTCTAATTAAGGGCTGTGTTTGACCAAAAACTCACCTATTTCCCAACCTAGCTATCCTTGCCAGTCCAACATTAGCCTACACCCACATCTTGCTATGTTCTGTCTCTGCATCACCACAAGAACACTTCAAGCATAACAAGGGCAATCTGCACCTCAAGTATCAAATCCAGACGCTCTCCTGCACCAACATCCACGAGATAAAGGACAGAATGAAGGAGCCTTCAAGAAGCCTCCCCTGTCTCAGGATCTTCTGCCCTCTATCCAGAAGCAGGCAGCTCCTGACTACTGTAGATAAACTACATCACAAAGCAGAGATCGATTCCGGCTCTGCTTCAGTGGCAGATGAAATACTTCAACTGCTGAAGCACTGCCCTGCTGCATGGCTTATAGAAAACACTTCTGTCTTCTCCTTTAAGGGAGATTTTGATTGATGGATTGTAAAAATCTCAGTGCCAAATTAACACAAGGATACAAATGATCTCTTATAAATGCCTGCAAAATTAATTTGTGCGACACACATTCATACCTCCATAATTTTATCCCCAAAACTGCTACAGAAGAAAATGTATTAATCTTGCTTGCAATATGTCACATTATTTAGTATTACTGTGTATTACAGTCACACACATTTTCATCTAAATAAATGATGCAAGAAATCCAATCATTTAAAGGCAATTTTGCTGTTTTGCTATGCAGTGAAATGTGAAGTCCAAGCAAAACAGAAGCTGTACCAGCATGTTTTGTTCTTACACTGACTGCAGCACTGTTTCCTCTCACTCTCCATACATTAGATAATGTTGCAGCTATGGCTTTATCTCGTGGAAATCTCCAGATAAAAGACTACTGTATCTCTTCCCTGAGCTGCTAAGATTTGCTTTAGAGGCAGATTGCATCTTCCATCAAGCACAAGTGCCATTCTTTGTACAGGATCTTGCAGATACGCACGTCAAGAGTTCTCAGACCTCAGAGAAGAGCAGTGCAACGTATTGCTTCTACAGGCTGCAGACAAGAACATGCAACATGATACACAAGTTACATTTTTGCTCAGCAGGATAGAAAGAAGTGCCATCACAGATTAGAGATGCCAGTCTGCGCAAACTGATCTTTAAATTGCTGTGGGGCTTTAAGCCCTTCTGAGGTTTAATCCACAAACGTAAACTGCACAAAATGAGTGAAATGGGTTCTGCCAGGGCAAGGTTCCTACAATTCAGGATGCAGATTTTATCATGTTTTTACCAAAAAACTTACATTTCACATTGCCTTTATAGCCACACCCCCTGTCTGCAAAGTGTGATGAGTTACACTTATACAGAAACACAGGTTAGACTGCTGCAACAAAAGCTGAGGTCATGCAGATGTTTGTTGACCAATGATACAAGGTTAAGTCTTTCCAGAAGGAAGCAGACTGGGTTTAATTAACAAAGGAATGAACAAAACAAAGGGAAAATGACAAAAAAAAACCCTTTGTATTCTGTCTATACAGTGACAAAGACAAAACTGCCCTGACTCTTCAGACTCCTTTCAGGCTAAGATGAAGAAAAGCCAGAGGATGCGATTGTACAGCTGAAAGGAAGGCAGGAGCTACAGCCAATGTTCTCATCAGTCTGGGATTCATCTTCAGTATAGAATGTTTAATACTGCTCTCCTTTATAACCAGGACACTTTGGTGTATGCTCAATAAGTCCCTTGTCTAGCAGAACCTGAATATAAATAACACTAATAAGGAAACAGACACCATGCACACAGCTAAACTTAGAGCTGCTAAGTGGGATTCAGCACTGAGAGGAGAGAAAGAAATAAACCAGGAAAGCTGACTGCAGCTGATGGAAACAGATGATCACCAACACGAGCCTTAAAATAAGGATAGAACAATTTGAGCATTCAGGTTAGGCCACAGAGAAAAAGCCAGCAAGACAAGGCAGATGGAAAACAAAAGAAAACAATTAATATGGAGGAACTGAGAACAAATTTCTGCTCTGTGGACACAGATCAGCTAGCATGTGTTTACTGGCACTGACGCTGTTCACAGTGGTGCAAATTCTAAGCCCTGCCACATCATGAATGTATTTCACCTCCAAGCACGGTTTGGAGGCACACCCACAGGTCTGACTCCTAAAGCAAATGTTTTAATTTGTTTTTAATTCCTCCTGCTCACAGATCCATGACAAATGCCTGCATCAAATCAGATTCCAGTTCATCCATCGGAAACATGAAGACCGGGCAATTGGAATTTAATGTTATTAGCGTTTTATAAGCCAAGAATAACAACAAAAAAGAGGAAATAAAAGCTCATGGTACCCTAGCTGTATTCAACCGTAACGCTAATGGGATTAGGATCATTTTATTTTGCAGAGGAAATAAGCAGGACTTTGATCACAGAACTGAACCACAAACAAGACGACGCTAACTTTATAATCACGAGACAGAGGGCAGCACTTGCAAAAGCAGGAAAAATGTCAGCATCTTTTACAGAAAATTCCCTGCTTCATGTAGACGTGCAGCTCACCTTTCACAACTTCAGTCAGATGCACTAGATTTTAAAGAGTAAAAGCACTGGAGAACAAGATGGACAGTCTGAGAATGAGCATTTCACCCTCAGCTCAAACACATTCTCCTAAATCTTCTCCTTCATAGAATCACAGAGTGGCCTGGGTTGAAAAGGACCACAGTGCTCATCTAGTTTTAACCACCCTGCTATGTGCAGGGTCACCAACCGCCAGACCAGGCTGCCCAGAGCTTGGGCTTCCTTGGGGCTGAAGTCACCTAATGAGATGGTAATTACTATCTTCTAACTGAATTTGCACTGACCAATGGAAGAGAGGAGCTTCTTTAACCAAATACAATTCAGCAATTAACTGCTTTAAAAGCAGGATGCTTGAACACACAAAATGCCTGACTCAATTATAAGCACTCACCCACAAGGAAAAGTTTATTGAAGGCTGGGAAAAAAATAAAAGCACTACCCTGAGCACATACCTGCCCCAAAGGCTGTGAGCTCTTCCCCATGGCACAAAGGCAGGCTTTTCTCCCACATTTCATACACATTACATCTATTGCCCAGTGCAAATGAGCAACTGCTGCTGCATGCTTTCATGCACGCTTTGCTGCCACTTGCAGGGTGAGGTTCAGCAAGTCTACTGTCACCTGTGCACAGCAGTAACTTACCAACCTCCACATGCACTCCTGTGTGCCCACCATTAGCCATCCCATTCATCAGCTCTGCATCCTCCAGCTTCAGCTGAACAGGGGGCTGCAACCTCAGCTCCTCCTCCACCTTCTCCCAGCTGACCTTCATTGCAGAGCCACTCATGTAATTAAAGCGGTGTTTTACTTTCTGAATGGCATCATCTGAAACATAAAAACACGCATGGATTTAGCTCTGCACAACTGGAGTCAGTTCTTCATCATGGCCTGGGTTGCAAAGGAGCACGATGCTCATCCAGCTCCAACCCCCTGCTGTGTGCAGGTCACCAACCAGCAGCCCAGGCTGCCCAGAGCCACATCCAGCCTGGCCTTGAATGCCTGCAGGGATGGGGCATCCACAGCCTCCTTGGGCAACCTGTGCCAGTGCCTCACCACCCTCTGGGGGAAAAACTTCCCCCTCATATCCAACCTAAACCTCCCCTGGCTCAGCTTACAACCATTCCCCCTTGTCCTATCACTACCCACCCTCACAAAGAGTTATCATCAAATCATGACATTCTGTTCTTTGAGGATTTGTTTTTCATTCTGTACTCCTACAAGGCCTGAATGAAGCAACTGGACCTCACAACTTAAAGAGGCAACACAGACAAAACGTATGATGGCTGTATAATGTGCTCTCATTACGGATTTCTCAATTTTTCTAAGCACAGTGATACCACGGAAATCCAGGTAGAACTGTGTGAACCCACTGCACTGTTGTATCCTCTCCCAGAATAGTTTATTGTTGCAAAGGAATGTGTTTTCAAAGGTGTGAGCTTCAGTAGAACATCTGTTACTTAGCACGAAAATCATTTATATCAGGGTAAAAAAGAAACACTAGGCATGATTATAATAGAATCACAGAATGGCCAGGGTTGGAAGGGACCTCAAGGATCACGAAGCTCCAACCCCCCACCAATGCAGGGCCACCAACCTCCCCATCTCACAGCAGCCCAGGCTGCCCAGGGCCCCATCCAACCTGGCCTCCAACACCTCCAGGGATGGACGGGGCATCACAGCCTCTCTGGGCAGCTGTTCCAGCACCTCACTGCTCTCACAGCACACAACTTCCCCCTGACATCCAACCTCCATCTGCCCTCCCTCAACTTCAACCCATTTCCCCTTGTCCTGCTGCCATCTCCCTTTTCCAAGAGTTGATTCCCCTCCTGTTTGTAGGCTCTTCAGGTACTGCAGGCTGCACTGAGGTCACCCCACAGCTTCTCTTCTCCAGGCTACACAAGCCCATTATGAAGCACTACATGAATCTAAGTCATGCCAGAAGTGAACGTGTCCCTAACAATCTATTTCGTCTTCCTCTTTCCTTGTACCCATCTGTCTTCACCCATCAGATTCCTTGTGACTACATTATGAAGTGTGTGAGATGTGGATTTCTTGTTCTTCTGTGCTTACTTATTAAGCAGCACCACATTCTGCTCATCTATTACCAGGGAAGAACAATCATCTAATAGTTCAGTGCACTTATAAAGTCTCCCCCTCCTCCTACACATGCATGCCAAGGCACACACACACACAGACAGACTCATTTTTATGACCAAGCTTTGGCCAGGAGACATTATTTAACATTATTAAAGTATCAGACAATAAATTCTTAGTAGAGAACAAAGCTACAAACCAAATTCAAGAAAAGCATACGGTCTGGAAGCTAAACTGATGCTTGTTGTGTCATAGGAAGCAGCAAATTCCCATTGAAGCTCTTCCAGGAAGCAAAATGCCATGATGGTCGAGTAACTGCTGGAACAGATGGCCATGCAGGCAATCTCCCCAGAAGACAGGAAACTGAAATATTAAAATAAAAAAAAAAAAAGGATTATCAACATAGAAAGGCAGAAGGGTCATTCAGAACGTGAGAAGTCAGCTGTGCTTTCTATCAAAACAAAATGTACAGACTGCAGTGAGCGAGGGAGCAGAGTGTGAGGGATGCATTGGTCTGGACAGTGCTGGGACAGTCCAGAAAACACCATGGGGAAGAAGATTTAGAAAGAAAGCACAGTAGCTTTCCACAGACAGAAACAAGGAAGCTTGCTCACCAGGGGCAAGCAGGTGGATTCCTCCTACCCCCTGAATGCAGGGACTTCATATTAAGAGGTATTCGGTTCACTTGCATAAAACCAAGAATGCTATTAATGCTAAGTGATCTATAACAAAGCAAGATGATCTCCTGTAAGAAAAATAAAAATCCTCATCCAGAATTGGCCAGAATACAAACAGGAGGGAAATCAACTCTTGGAAAGGGTTGATAACTGCAGGACAAGGGGAAATGGCTTGAAATTGAGGAAGACTGAGGCTGGATGTCAGGGGAAGTTGTTTACTGTGAGAGTGTTGAGGTGCTGGAACAGCTGCCCAGAGAGGCTGTGATGCCCCGTCCATCCGTGGAGGTGTTGGAGGCCAGGTTGGATGGGGCCCTGGGCAGCCTGGGCTGCTATGAAATGTGGAGGTTGGTGGCCCTGCATTGGTGGGGGGTTGGAGCTTCGTGATCCTTGAGGCCCCTTCCCAAGGCATTCTGTGATGCTGTGAATAGAAGTTTATGTATCCAAGTTTCCACTTACAGATGCCCCCGAACCTACTAGGACACTGAACTGGCATTTCATGTGAGCAAGGCACAGCTGTGTAATTAAGGACATGTAATTAATTACTCCCATCTAGACTTCATAAAACATGGGAGTCAGGGTACCTTGTTCAGGTGTCAGCACTCAGGGCAGCCAGCTAAACTTCCACAATCCCCAAAATAATCATAGAATGGCCTGGGTTGCAAAGGAGCACAGTGCTCATCCAGCTCCAAGCCCTGCTGTGTGCAGGTCACCAACCAGCAGCCCAGGCTGCCCAGAGCCACATCCAGCCTGGCCTTGAATGCCTGCAGGGATCCACAGCCCCCTTGGGCAACCTGTGCCAGTGCCTCACCACCCTCTGGGGGAAAAACTTCCTCCTCATATCCAACCTAAACCTCCCCTGTCTCAGCTTACAACCATTCCCCCTTGTCCTATCACCATCCACCCATATACACAGTCATTTCCCCTCCTGTTTCATCACATTCTTGTTTATCAGCAGAACACATTACTACTGAAGAGCATCAACACAACCTGAAGGAAAAGGAATTAAAAAGAATCTCTGATTTCCTAATTCACTCAGCTCAAGCTCATGTACCTGGTTTCCCCAGTAACTCCCTCTGAACGAGACACAGTTCTAGCTGAGGATCACTGTAAGTTTTCCTGCAATCACAAACTAAAACTCATTTTTAAAACTAAACTGAATAGGAAACAAAATTTCTCTGAATAGAACCTTGATTTCTTGAAATAAAGACTAGCAGATCCTTCTCTGACAGAAGCAGGCTGAGATTTCTCATTTCTCCATACAGCTCCAGGCCATTGTAGGCAGATCTGTACAAGTCAGGATAAGAACTGGAGGAACCCACGGATTTCCAGGTCAAGCAGATCACATCATAGCAGATCATCTACTGAGAAGGCATCAGGAAGATCTGACTGTCTGCAAAGAATGGGGTTTGGGCTCAGTTTCAGACAAAGCTAGTTAATTCCTAGGCACCAAGACTCACAAGTCCAATCCACTGCAGTTGCCAATAGTGACAAGTATCACCCATCAAGCAGAATGGGTTTGCTACAAAAAATGACAACCAAACTAAGCAACTCTTAACATATGCTTACGAAACCGAGTAGGAGCTGCACGGCTCTGGCCCTGTGAAATTCAGTTTCCAAATACAGCCAGGAGGTTACAACCCAGACACACACCATAGGGTTTCAGAGAACACACCTCATCCTTAAAGTTCAACTAATCTCCAGCACAACCATCTTAAACTGAAGTCAGAAAACAAGGCAGCCGAGGTAGGGACTCACTGTATGCTCAGCTCACGTCCTTTTGCTGTGCCTCGACTTGGATAGCGTGCCAGAACTGAGGATAATGCCTTCAATTTCTTTCTGCATTCCAAGAAGTCCTGGTTGAAATGAAAGTCTGTGGAGGCTGAGAGGGGAAGACCGTCTCTCACCCGCACCACACAGGCAAAGAAGATCATGGACATTCTCCACTGAAGCATTCATGAGGACAACCTGAAAACAAATCATGATTTAGGTTAAAGATACAGCAGCGAATGCCTCCTCAGATCTTTACAGACACATCTCAAAGAGCTATTTACCATTGCTCCCAACAAATCCTCTTTCAACAGCTCTGCTGCTGAAAGGCAATCAAAGTATTCCCAAAGGTCAGAGCTGCGGCCATCTGTTGCCTCTCTCAAACAGGAGAGGTGGGGATTAAATAGTGAAAATGTTCACTGTTCTCCCTCCTACTTCACCTAAAGCATCAGAAATGCTAAGTTCTTCTTTGTATTCACACAAACCAGCTCACTCCTAAGGACACTGCAGCTTCATTAGGCCTGCAGTTGTGTTAGTGCTGCAGCAAGGCCTGACTTTCCAGTGCAACACATTTGTAAAAATGGCTACAGCCTCTTTTGAGAGAAGCAATTACAGCTAAATATGGAACAAACATTGCCCTCTCTTGGCTTCTTGTTCTTTTTCAGGTCACGATCTCCCACCGTAAGCTATTACTGGAAATTACCTGGTACATTCAGATCACACAGGAGATCTGTCCTTTGCACACGCCATGAGCACTCAGCACAAGATGCTGGAAGACCAACAGGGCAGCTTCCATCGCCTCTGAAAGACAATCACAGGCAGAATTTAAGATAACCCACTAATCAGCTCTCATATATGCAAAACCTGCTGTGCAGTGGGTGAACACATCCTCGAAAGCAGTTTGCCTTAAGGAAAACAAAGCTCATTTTCTTCACCAACACATCCTAGATGCATTCAGAGACACCCCCTACCATGAAACGACAAGCAAAGTACTTTCGATACCACAACCACTGATTTCAAGTTACCCCAGCTTGCTGCAAAGCACCTCTAAATCTGCAGACATCGAGAGATTACCACAAACAACATGAGAAATAAAGAAAGGCCTTCGCTCTGCTTCAGGCAAACTAAATAAATAAAGCATTAGATGGAGAAAAAAAAACAAAACAGAAATATCACTGCAAAGTCAAATTTTTGTTAGGGGGAATGACAGCTTTAAGCAGCCTGTATCAAAAAATCCTTTCCAATGCTCCAAGTGTCTTTACAAGGCACCTCTCCAGAGGTTTTGCTGTCTCAGGAGGTAAAGAGCAAAGCATGTTCCCTACAGCCATTCATAACCCCTTGCCTGCAGTGCTCCTATCGTCTCATAAGAGCTGAGCTCTCTTTTCCACCACTGATCTTAGTTGTAAAATCAAACTAAGCTTGCCAACTTCACTTCAGTGTGCAGCGGAATGAATTTCAACAGCAATCAGAATGATTGCACATCGACTCGAGACCTCACATCCTCACATCCAGCGTGTGGCAACAGCATGGATGGAGCACTGCAGAAAACTGCTTCAGCTTTAGCACAGAACACAAAAGGAAATTGCCAACTTGGAAGTATTAATGTTAACAGTCACTTTTAAGTACGGTCACACAGACCAGAGCTGCTTTATAATTTATACAATCACAGAATCCTTAGAGTTGACTGAATGGCCTTTAAAGGTCCCTTCCAACCCCCCTGCAATGCACAGGGACACCACAAATAGACCAGGTTGCCCAAGGCCTGGTCCAACCTTGCCTTGAAAGTCTCCAGGGATGAGGGATCAACCCATCTCTGGGCAACCTGTGCCAGTGCCTCAGCACTCTCACTGTGAAAGACTTCTTCCTTACATCCAATCTAAATCTACCCCTCCTGAGCTTGAAGCCATTGATTAATGGTTGGCAATGTACAGCTCAGCAATGTCCCATCTGGCAAACACCACGTGGGGACTGCACTGAACATTCTCATTTATCTTTCAGATACAGCCAGGAGATGACCAACAAAACAGAAAGACAACACATTTATTAAACAGGTGTCTTCCAACTCACCGTACCACCAGCAGCCAGAGTTTAAGCTTAAAAATATACCTGTATGTCCACCACTACAGATAACATCACCTGTAGTTAACTGCACAGCTCCCCAGGGTGCACAAGGCCTCATGCAGCAGGGTGCAAGGTGCTCAGGAAGCTGGCAATCAGGGATTCCATGATCTGCTGTGAGATCTATCAGTTCACCATCAGGCACTCTTCCAAACTAAATGCCAGACTGCTGCAGAGAAAGGAGCCAAGGCTCCCCCAGAGGACAGAGCAGCTGCTGTAACTTTCTATCATCACTGTATTCTTCCAGCAGGTTGGATTATTATTATTTTTAATCTACTTGCCTGCAAATGTTTTAGCTTTGCTGCCTAAGGAAATGAAGTACATGCAGTGCTTCTATATCTACCAACCCCAGCACAGATATGGAGGCTCGAACCTTAAAACATCTGAGAGCAAAATGGCTGGAGATGCCTCCTCTGATTCCACACCTCCCATTCATAGAATCATAGACTCACAAGGTTGGAAACGACCTGTAAGATCATCCAGTCCAACCATCTCATCACCATTGCCACCACTAGCACTAAACCACATCATGCAGCACGTCGTCCACACACCTCTTGAACACTGCCAGGGACGGCGACTCCACCACCTCCCTGGGCAGCCATTCCACGGCCTGAAGGCATGTTTGCTCAGCTAACACCCTGCTCCACACCAAAGCTGTGTGCCACTCTCAGGTGTCACTTTGAGAGACTTACAAATAAACAGAACACACAGGATTTTCAGTGATTCAGGGGTTTACTTGCAACGGAGGCATAGCTGAAAGAGCAGAGCCAGAACAACCACGATGCTCATCCAGTTCCAACCCCTGCTGTGTGCAGGTCACCAACCAGCAGCCCAGGCTGCCCAGAGCCACATCCAGCCTGGCCTTGAATGCCTGCAGGGATGAGGCATCCACAGCCTCCTTGGGCAACCTGTGCCAGTGCCTCACCACCCTCTGGGGGAAAAACTTCCTCCTAACATCCAACCTCAACCTCCCCTGTCTCACTTTAAAACCTTTCCCCTTGTCCTATCACCATCCACCCTCACAAACAGTCATTCCCCCTCCTGTTTATCTGCTCCCTTCAAGTATTGGAAGGCCACTATGAGGTCTTCTCCCAGCCTTCTCTTCTCCAAGCTCAACAAGCCCAGTTCCCTCAACCTTTCCTCAGAGGAGAGCTGCTCCCAGTCCTCTGATCACCTACGTTTGAAGAGGCTTTCAGAATCACCAGGTCCAACCACCAATCCAACCCACCAAGTCCTGTCACTGCACCACGTCCACCACTCACTGCCACGTCCACACCTCCCCTCAATCCCTCCAGGGATGGGGATTCTATCACATCTCTGGGCAGCCCATTCCAGTGCCTCACCACTCTCCCCATGAAGAAAACACCTTCATAACGTACCATCCTGATCAAGGTGTACCCAGAACCGAGTCAATCTGTGATCCTGTCATTCCAGTCTGACTTAACTTCCTCCTCTGGCCCCTCTCTGTTTGCCTACGATTAGCTGCCCAAAGTATCTGCACTGGACTTTACGTGGCAGGCCTTTGAACTCAGCTCCTGAACTCTGACAACGTCTTTGTGCCTTTTGATTAAGCACGTATCAAATCTTCCGGAATATGAATCACTAACAACCAGTCGAGCCCAGCAATTTTACTGGCACAAAGCTAGTAAAGAACAAGCTGTAATTTGTAACTTAAGTAAGCACTGCTTGTTATTTTCTTGATGTGAAGCACCTGCACATCCTACACTTCAGCAGGAAACTGTTCAGTACTCCCCCAAGCAGTATTATTTAGCAGTCCTCCAGCAAACAGGACTCCTCAGGCCGTTCCCACAGCAGGCACCTAACTGAACTTCTCCAGAAGGCAGCTCCTCCATCCCTCACTCCCTAAGCAGCAGCTCACTCTCCCCAGTGACTACCTAGGGATTATTAAGGCAGCTCAAATCAGATCTCTTACTGTTATGCAAGCTCCTCCATAGAAGATTAGATTCAACTCACTAGCATCACATTTCTAAAGAAACTCCTGCCTTAATTTCCATACTTGGAATCCACGTGAAAGGCTCTGAAAGCAAACACACACCAGTAAGTAGCTGATGGAGTGGGGGATTATTTTTAAAATAATATTCTTTAAGAAGTTATTTTAACTAACCCTCATGAGCAGAAGTTTCCTTTTGAGAATGGCACAGCATGAACAGGTCACATCTTGCCACCAGTACCTCTCTTTAGCACTCATTTTCTCTCCCTGTTCAGAATCACATTTCCCTTTTCTCTAAACAAAGGCCAGTTGAGATGTGCAACCATTCTGCCAATTTCTGATCTTCCTACTGCAGCTGTGGTAAACACTACCATAGCCCAGGAGACCCCTGAAGCAGTCAGATTTAGCTTACATCTCTCCAGATTTAGCACTGAATAAAAAACCCCACCTGAAAGCAATGGATGCCAACCTTTAAAACAAGGTTTGCAAATATCCAGAGCCTATAGGCCTCAATGAAGCCTATAGGCTTTGTACTCATAATCAAGGGGAAGCTGATATAAAACCTTCCATCACAAATTATGTCCAGACATACTCCTATCAACTATCACACATAATGCACATTACATGGAACTCAAACCCCAACATTCAGCTCCTTCTGAAATCTCCTGCCCCATGTTGCCTAAAACACACCTTAACATCTCTCTAAGAGTCTGAAGCTCTTTCCCTTAATTAATCTCTCAGAAATATAAACCACCTGAAGTGCAAGCAAACACACAGTCACAAAAGGACGGGTTGAGGCTGGAAAGGACCTCTGGGTCCATCTGCTCAAACCCTTGGTCCAGCAGAGACGCCCAGCACCACGTCCAGGCGGCTTCTGAAGATCCCCAAGGAAGACACCCACAATCTCAGGGTCCCTGTAGCAACGCTCCAGCACACAAGTGCTTCCTGATGGTCAGATGGAGCCTCCTGTGCCTCAGTTTATGCCTTCTGTCCTGGTACAGGGCACCACTGACAGCAGCCAGGCTCCACGCTCTCTGCACCTCCTATCAGGGATTCATGGACATGAGCAGGATCTGAATCTCTGTGTTAAGCAGCCACAGCTCTCAGCCTCTCCTCCCGGCACAGCAGCCCCAGCGCCTGCAGCATCACAGCAGCACTTGCTGGCATCTCCCAGCTCTTTGTGATACTGGAGGCCCAGGACTGGGCACAGCACCGCAGCAGAGGCAGGATCACCTCCAGCTGCTGCCGCGTCCACCAGGTTCAAACACACACACACACCCGTGTCCCAGCGCCTCCCACCCCACCTTCCTCATCTCCTCCCCTCGCGGATCCTCACACCGTCCCTCCTCGCACCCTCAAACTTTCCTTCCAGCCCTCCCACCCCATTCACACACCCCACCCCTCCACCACAGGGTCTCTCCACCCCCCCTCGGGACGCAATATCCCCTCACGACCCTCCCTCCCCCTTCAGACACTTCTCCAGTCCCCAACGCGGGACGGAGGACGACGAAGCAAGACAGCGCCCCGCGGGCCGCAGCTCACCTTCCCCCGCCCCAGGCCTGCTGCGCCGCCACGGAGCGGCCCGCCCCGCCCATAGAGGCGGCGGCAGAGCGGGTAGAGCGGCCGCGCGCAGAGCATGCCGGGATGGGGGGGGAGGAATGGAAGTGGAGCTGGAGATGGGATGGAGCTGTTGGGGGATTGGAGCTGGAGCTGTTGGGGGATTGGAGCTGTTGGGGGATTGGAGCTGGGAATGGAGATGTTGGGATGGAGCTGTAGGGGATTGAAGCTGGAGCTGTTGGGGGATGGGGCTGTTGGGGGAATGGAGCTGGAGATGGGGCTGTTGGGGGAATGGGGCTATTGAGGGAATGGAGCTGTTGGGGGACGGAAATGTCTGGGGATGGAGCAGCTGGGGGATGGAGCAGGATGTTGTCCCGGTGGTGTTGTTGCTATTTGACAGTGGCATCAAATGTTGTTTCTGCATTAGAATTGGATAATATTTTGTTATTTCATGGTCTCTGCTGTCACTGTTCTTTTTGGGAGTCTTTCTACTTTACCTGGGGGGGGGTCTCTGATAGTTTGCATTACTTATCCTCTAAATGAACCTTCTCCAGGAATTCATGCTCAGTATATATGCGTGTATTTTATCATATACATTGCAAGAATATCCTGCACGGGATGTCATGGCATGCCCAAGGAAGCGCCTGAAGAGACAGCAATTAACAAATAGAAACTTTGATTGTGAAGCTGGAGTACCCAGCCAATGGGCAAATAGGGGAGGGGGTCAGGCAAAGGGGGAAATAAGGTACAAAAAGCTCTCACTGTGTCCTAGCATGGTTCGAGACAGGGTATGGCAGTATGGCAGGGGTTTGGAATCATAGAGTCAAAGGATTGATCAGGTTGGAAAAGGCCTTAAAGACCATCAAGTCCAACCACAACCAGACCATACTGCCCTAACTCTAACAGCCCTCTGCTAAACCATGTCCCTGAGCACCACATCCAAATGGTTTTTCAACACATCCAGGGATGGTGACTCAACCACCTCCCTGGGGAGCCTATTCCAGTGCTTAACAACCCTTTCTGTATAGAAGTTTTTCCTGCTATCCAAGCTAAACCTCCCCTGGTGCAACTTGAGGCCATTTCCTCTCCTCCTGTC